TCTCACTAGGAACCCTGTAAGCAAGGTACCAGGCCAGTTCTTCCAAGGGGCTTTGTTGGCTCCATAAAGTCAATCTTAGTTCCTTAGAGCTATCTGGTCATATCTGAGTCTATGCATGTGTGTCAAATATGTTATTACAGTCAAAGCCTTTGTAATAAGTGTTTTCAGTGCTGTCCGGTTACAAGGAGAGCAGATTCTTACTGAACTTATGCAAATAAAAATGTTGTCATGAAACATGAATAGTTGCTGAGAGTTTCTAAATTCTGGAGGGATCAGGTAAAGAGAGAGATAAATGTTTCAATTCTGATTTACAGGTATAATTTACTAAACTGTTGTAAGCTAGCTTAAGAGAAAAAGTTTAAAACATACTTTTTCTGTTTTAAGAGATCAGCAACATTTGGAAATCTTGGAGTTAATTAGAGGTAAAAGTACCTTTTGAATTTGAGTTTGGGAAGAAAATTTTCTAAGGCACTTGCTTAAAATAAGATTATAAGTTGTTAAAGAAACAATATAGTTATTCATGTAACCAAACTGACAATGAAAGATTTTTTTTTACAATAAAAGATTTTAAAGGCAAATACAGAAGGTTATATACTTGGCAAAACTTAGCTCTTTTAATATTAAGACTTTTGTGTTTTTGAGTAACAAGACATATTACTGAGACATTAAGCACAAGAGTAAGCTGTTGTAAACTGTTATGCTAGCATTCTTTAGGCCTGTCTTTATGCCCAGGAGAAGAGGGTTTTTTTCCACAGACCATCTTTGTCATTGTAGTTTCAGTTAGGATCTACTGAGGGAACAGCAGTCTTTCTAATGGGAAACTATTAGAGAAGTGAAGGCTGCTAGTAGACTTACAAGCCTTTTAATTAACTCTTTTGCTCAGCTAAGGTCAATTGTAAGCTGACACTGGGGCAGAAATAAAGTAGGGAGAGGAGCAAGTAGAGGACTATACCAAGTTGGCAAGCTCAGCAGAGTTCTTTCTGGCTTCTGAGATAGAAGCAAGCCTGAATGTAAGGGACCTCTGCTCAATTGCCCACCCACTTACAGATTGAGAGTCTCAGGGTGGAATTGGGATCAGTGCAAGAGAATGCAGCCCAACAGCGTGGCTCATGTAGGAAGAAAGGAAATTAACTTTTCCTGTCCTGGTCGTCTCCAAGAGCAGGACCGAAGACTATAGTCCTGAGGAATGAGTTAGAGAGCCCAGCGTCCCATTGTCTATCCCAGAGGTGTTGGCACAGCCGGCTTCCCAGGACCTGACTCATCCCATCTCAGACGTCTCCAAGTGGGATATGGAGGACTAGTCTTATGGCTTCCAAGTGAAGGGTTAAAGGGGGTTTACCACAGGTAGTCCCGTGAGATGTGTCAGGTGTTGACAAAGGCTGACAGTGAGGTCCTGTGGGAGCCTGAAGGAGGCTCAACCAAGTCAGGCAAATAGCTAGAAAGCTGAAGGTGAGGTGAAAGGCACACTAAGCTTAAGAAACCCAGAATGCTGGCTTCTATTATGAGCATCTCAGAAGTTTAGAAACTTCTCTTCCAGTTCTGTCTCTCTGGCCAGAAGTGAGTGTGCCATGGAGAGACAGCAATGGAGGAAAGGGGAGTCACAGGTGATGGAGCCTTGGTCTGGGATGAAAAGAGAGATAAGGGTTGAAGGATGAAAAGACCTTGAGTGGACTTACAATAAGCAGGCAAGGGAGAAAGGCTTATCAGAGGAGAACAGTGAAGGAGGTGCAAGTGCAGAGGAAATGGGAGAATAGGGTTCTATGGTAGAAAATTTCAAGGAAACTTTCATCTTTATACTTGCTGAGTCTCAATTGGTGAAGGTTTTAGTAGTAATTACTGGTGCCAGGGTAAGGGTGGAGGAAGGGAAGAGTGGCAGCTCTTAACTGAGCATTTAGGGTCAGCAAAAGGTATAAAGAAGTGGTCTGGCCAGGCAAGCCTCCCGGAGATCTGAGAGCCTCCTCAGAGAACAATAGGAAGTCAAGGTCCCTGGGGAGGCTACCAGACTAGTTAGGAAAGATCATCTCCAGGTTGCCTCGACTAAGGCAGGCAGCTGTGGGGAAAAAAAAAACTGCTGTGCTGAGAAAGAGGTTTTAGCTCTAGGCTACATGTTCCTGCAGTCTGCAGGCTAGGCCTGACAGGTGGTGGGTTCCAAATGGGAAGTCAGAGTTAAGTCAGACCGTCAGAGTAAAAGTCTGTTTCCCTCCAAGTGGAAAATAGAGAAGATAGAGCAGACGTGACTATAGAAAGAACTCAGTGCAAAATGGATGAAGGGTAATAGAATAAAGGTGAGTGAGAAGGTTCTTAGCTCCTGCAGAGAGCTGTAGGAGAGAGGAGAGTAAAGGGAGAAGTCTCCTGGTTGCTCTGGGTGACATTCCTCAGGACCCAATCGTGACCTGCCTCCTAGGGAGGGGTTCCCACAAGGCAAGCACAAGTAGGTGCTGCCTCCAGCTGGGTCTGGTATACATCTCACGGCCAAGGAGATCATGAGATGGGGGTCCCTGGGTTTTGCCCCAATTAGCTGACCAGCAGATAACACAAAAAGCTTGGAGGAGGGAAGAAAAGAAATGCAGTAACTAGGAAAAATCTGAGAACACAGAAAAGGAAGTCTCTGCGTGGACGTATTAAACCCTGTGTGGGGACTTGCCACGGGATTGGAAGTGGGTGCTTTTACAGTGTGCCTCTGTTGCATGGACATTGTCTCACAGTCAGTGGGGTACCTAATGCTATCTTCCCCACTTTGTGACCAACTTATCCTGTCATGGGAGTCTTCCAGCGAGTGCCCTGTGGCTTTTACTGCTCGACCCGTGCCCAGAGTGCGGTTGTTTTGTTCCACAAGAGACAGAGAAGGAAGGGAAGGATTCCCAGAGAAGAGGTGCCAGCCAGGGGGTGAGGCACATGCAGCTTACCAGGGGTGGAAATCCACCCAAGGCACGTAGCACCAAATATGTTGGTGGGAGAGGTCTGTTCAATTTACTAGGGATGGAAATCCATCCGAGTCATGGCACCAAATATGTTGAGGGTGAGGCATTGTGTATTTTCCTCTGTTCTTGTCTCCACCTCAACAAAGAATTGAAGGGCAGAGAGACAGTAGTGAAACAGAGTAAAAGTTTTATTTAAAGTTGCTTAAAGAGAAAGTGCAGGCAACCTCGGAGAGAGAGGAGCGCCCTGAAAAGTTGGAAAAAGTTTAAGTTATGCACTCTAAGTGTGGGTGACCTCAGAGAGAGGAGTGCTCTTCAATATCTTGAATGCATTATTTTTAAGCTGGCATTAAATCTTAGGCTTTGCTAGGTATTATTAAGTGAAAATACATTTTATGTTTGATATGTTAATCAAATATGTTTGACATTTGTGAAATTATGACCAGTGAGGGATCATTGAATCTCAAATATTTGTGTTTTTAAATGAATGAGGTATTTGAAGTACCTATATTATTATAATTATACATTAAACTTGGCAATATATTCTTAAAAACATGAGTTATATCAGTTGTGTAGTGTATTAGGCTGAAGGTAATGAAGGAATGTCATTTAGGGTAATCGGATTAGTTTCAAAAAAAGCAATATCAGTTTTCTTTGCACAATGCTGGACTAACAATTCATAAAAACTCACCTAACTGATACTGATTTGTGGAAAGTTTTTACTTTCTCTGACCTCTTGGATACTCAGACTAATGGTTTAGATTGAATTTCAAAATGCCATTTTTCTCTGTAGTACAGCTAATTTTTTCTTTTTCCCCCTTATTACGGATATAACATCTACATTTTTGACATTTATGGACTTACAGACACTTAGAAGTATTTCACTATAAGAAGTAGCCAAATCTGTTCCATTTAACCATATGGTTAAACTTAAAACATGCTAGATTATAATGTTGGTATTGTTTCTGTGTCTTTGATACTGGTTATGAGAGATGTTGACAGATTAAATCAATCCTTCACATTCACACTGGCAATAATCATTATCCTTTTTCCTTGAAAAAGACATATCTCATATAATCTAGACTGGTAGGATTACAGAGGGACCTTAGAATTTGACTGTTGTGGTGAAAGTACATGACCAGTCCTTTTCTTATTTGGGTGACAAGGAGGTCTTGTGGGCTGGTTTCTTCTCTCCCCTACCTTTTTTCCTTCACTTTGTATTTATTTACTTTTACAGATTATTAAAAAGTTGCTAAGTGAAATAAACCAGAGAAAGATACCCATATGATTTCACTTATTTGTGGAATCTGAAAACAAAACAAAACAAACAAAACAGCAGTAGACTCGTAGACTCTGAAAAGTGACTGGTGGTTACCATGGGGGAGGGGTTGGGGTTGATGGTTGGGTGGGAAGGGGGAGGGGTAATAAAGGGGCACAAAAATTCTCAATCATAAGTTGGTCACTGAGATGGTGGTACAGCATGGAGAATATAGCCAGTGATTCTGTAATATCTTCCTACGTTGACAGATAGTAACCACAGTAGTGGGGGTAGTAGGGGTTTAATAATATGGGTAACTGCTGGTTTCTTCTTAATAACTAACTACCTGGCCATATGTAAGGCCCACAATCTCTTATGTAAAACCCTTGAGGCCTGGTGTATCCTGTTGTTCAGATTCTAAAAAATTATTTTAGAAAATAATACAGTACATATGCTGATATGCTATAGATGACATAACATCTGAGGAGGCACTCCGATTAAACATATTCATATTTCAGCAGTGAAATGTATGAATATTCATAGTAAGTGGGCCAAACAGAGAGGAGCCTTATATAGTTTGGGTCAAGTTTTGTTGCCAAACCAGTTATAAAGCTTTGGATTCCAGAGCTGTTTGAATTTTCAATTTAAGATAATCGACTATGAACCTGTGATAAATTGTTTTGTAATAAATACTTGTAATATTAATAGGTATAATGCCTTTTACAAATAATTTTAAATATAACAGAATTATATGTCTTGTAGTATTTTTCAGCCGTCCACTATTTAACCTTTTATTTCATCCTCTAAAATACTTCTTTCTACAGCTCCTGTATTCACGAGGACTGCTAATTGATCTTCTAATCAAATCTAATGTGAGTCGATATGCAGAGTTCAAAAATATTACCAGGATTCTTGCATTTCGAGAAGGAAGAGTGGAACAGGTACTTTGCCGATCAAGAATTGTAACTGGGTAGGAACTTAAGTTGTGATGAATTATTCTGGAAGGATAAGCAAAGATTGTTATTTTCCTGGTTAAGCAGCAAATTCCCGTTCTGCATGGTGATTTACAAATGTAAATAGTAAGAGAGTGCTCAATTAAAATATCTAGTGTTAATTATCTCCCGAGTTTCTTCTACAGCTTGATGTTGGTGTTGAGAAAGTGTTAATTTTTCAGGCAGCATTGTTAGATTTGAGCTGTCATTTGTTCCCACTTAGGGGTGACATGCTATTGGCTTTTTAGTGGCATAAGGAGTAACTTGGCAGAATTGAGTAAGAGAGCTCACAAGTTAATTAGCTCTGAAATTAACAGAGATGCCATTAAAACTGATGGAAGTAATGTGAAATAACTTGACTAGAATGGAAATAATAATCTTACTATATTTAAAGGAAAAAAGTGTAATTTGGAATACTTGTATCATTAAGAAACAGTTTCTTAAAATCACATTTTTCAGGTTCCTTGTTCCAGAGCAGATGTTTTTAATAGCAAACAACTTACTATGGTAGAAAAGAGAATGCTAATGAAGTTTCTTACATTTTGTCTGGAATATGAGGAACACCCTGATGAATATAAAGGTATTGTTTTTCATTAAATTGTATTCTCCAATTATTTGAGCTTTCTTATTATTTTAATATGCTTGCTCTGATGTAGTGAGCCACTCATTACTCTTTTAAATACATCATTAGTCTGCACTATCCAATAGGATAGCCATTAGCAACATGTAGCTATTTAAATTTAAATTAATTAAAATTAAATAAAATTTAAAGTGTGATTCCTCATTTGTACAGGCCACATTTCAAGTGCTCAATAGCCACATGTGGCTAGTGACTACCATGGCTACAGTGTAAAACATTTTCATCACCACACAAATGCTGTGCTGGGTGTTCATTTTTACTCTTCTCGATTAAGTAACTGCTGTCAACTGATTCCTCTTCATAGGGCCTGATAAATGATATTCTCTTCATTGTTCCCTTAATTTTTTCATTAGTAATAAAAAAACCATATCTTCTTCATAGGCCCTTCAATAAGGACCTGATAAATGATATTCTCTTCATTGTTCCATTAATTTTTTCATCACTAATAAAAAAATCAGTGTATTTTTTCATTTTTCCAGAATTACTTTTGCTTAGAATTTTGAGTTATTCATATTGATTAATTAAGTAAAAAGGGGCTAGATAGTATGGGGGGAACCACTGGATTAGGAGAAGACACGGTTTCTAGTCTTGGCTTTGAGACCCATCTCACTGTGTGAGCTGGGACCAGTTAATTAACAGTTTGTTGAAAACCTCAGATATACTATTTCGGTATCAGGGCTTTATACTTAAGTTCATTGGGCTGGCAAAGTTCCAGAATAGGAATATACTATTGGCAATTCATTTATAAAGTTACAAAGAGAAAAACAGCAGTATTTTTTGTACTACATGGAATATTAAAAGTCTAGCTTTTTCTGTTAAAGCTTCAAGTGCACAGATACTGCCAAATTGTTCTCCACAGTGGTGTAAACTTAGATTCTCTCAGCAAATTTTACTGATTTTTATTTGTTTATATAAATTATTTCAATAAAGTTTTTGTCTTTTGTCATAGAATTGTATTTCCTACCAGTAACAGTACAATTACATTTTTTTCTGTTTTTGGTTTAAAGGAGTAGTTTTTCATAGTTCCTTGTGTTTTTGAGGTGTGATTATAAGACAGACTTATTCCATTAGCCACACAGAAGTTATTTTCACTTTAGTCATAGTTCATTGTTCACAGTTTTAGTAAGAAACATACATTTCAAAAAAAATCAAGTATTACTCTCATTGTTTTCACAAAAAATTGCCATTTGTCTTATTTATTTAATATTTTAAAGTGTAGTTACTGGCATTATTTTGCAGTTTTAATGATAATAAAGTAAGATTTTTGCCAGCCATGGAAACCTATTGAGATGGTTAATGAATTATTTAAAACTTTTCTGGTTTTTAAAATCTGTAAAATTCTGAACAAAGACTCATCACTTAAAGGTTAAAACTTTTGCCATCAATCCAATTAAGGTAGTGAGTTTCTGGCCCCCCCCATAATCCCTGGTCTCTGACCAAAATGAATTAATATTAAAACCTATGTCCTTTGACAAGTATTTTAAACAAACTTGATCTCATTTTTGTGCAGTGGTTTTCAATTGAAATTTGGTTCTGATTTTAAATAAATTTCTGTCTTTCTTTTCATAGCTTATAAGGACATTACATTCTCTGAATATTTAAAAACTCAAAAATTAACCTCCAATCTCCAATACTTTGTCTTGCATTCAATTGCAATGACATCAGAAATAGCCAGCAGTACCATAGATGGTCTCAAAGCTACCAAGAACTTTCTTCACTGTCTTGGACAGTATGGCAACACTCCATTTTTATTCCCTCTTTATGGCCAAGGAGAACTCCCTCAGTGTTTCTGCAGGTAAGACTCTCATTGATTCTCTCATCTTTTCTTAAGGTGGTACTTGAAATTATAAAGACAAAAATGAGATCTCCTCATGATTTAGTTCATGCAAACATTTCCTTTGTTATTCTATTCTTTTATAATCTATTTGCCTACCTACCTTCCTAAGTGATCTATTCATTTTGGCCTGTTTTTAAGCTTTATGAAATAGAATAATACTGTAAATTCCTTTTCTCAACTCAGTATTATATTTCAGTTGTATATAATTATAGTTAACCTATTTTCATTGCTATATAGTATTCCATTATGAATATAGCATAACTTATTTTTCCATTTGTTGATGGACACAGGATGTTCCAAGTTTTTGCTGTTATTAACATCCTTTTGTATGCTTCAGGATATACATGTTCAAGAATTTCTTTAGGATACATTTCTGGGAGTGGAATTCCTGAGTCATAGGATATATGAATGTTTGTACAAGACAGTGCCCAATTGTTTCTCCAGCGATTTGTGCCGGTTTACATGCCCATAGCAGTGTGTAAGAATTCCCATACTTCTATGGCTTTGGTAGCATTTGGTGTTATCAGACTTTTTGATTTTTGTTAATCTAACTTACATAGTATCTATTTTTATTTTGCATTTCCGAGATTATTTAAGTGGTAAGGTGACTTCTCATGTGGTTATTGGCTACTCATGTTTTCTCTTCTGGGATATGCTTGTTTGTATCTTTTGCCCATTTGTCTATTGGAGCATTGTCTTTTTGATTTGTAGGAGTTTTTATTATTTTTTATTATTTTTTATTTTTATTTTGTTACCATTAATCTACAATTACATGAAGAACATTATGTTTACTAGGCTCTCCCCTACACCAAGTCCCCCCACAAACCCCATTACAGTCACTGTCCATCAGCGTAGTAAGATGTTGTAGAATCACTACTTATCTTCTCTGTGTTGCACAGCCCTCCCCTTTCCCCCACCCCCCGCATTATACATGCTAATCATAATACCCCCTTTCTTCTTCCC